CCAATTTTATCTTCTGCCCCATGTGCTCCAAGATGGAGACTCTCATAGTTTAGAGTTAGGACCGCACTATAAGAGGTGCCTTGGTGCGGCTGTGCGGCTTTCACATTTTCTGCAGAAGACGTGTATCCAAACCTCTGCTTTTAACCTTAGCGGTGAGACAAGTTTTTTTACATGCTAGCTTGTGAGTGTGCCAGGAAAACTTTTTGCTGTTTACTGTTTACCCGATGTGACCCCCTCTTTTATATTTTACCAAAAAATTGGGTAATAATAAATGTATTATAACATTTTATAGGAAAACAGTTTTTTTTTCCAAAATTTAGAGTACTTTTTTTGTTATAGTAAAAAATAAGAACCTGTAGTGGTGATTAAATACCACCAAAAGAAAGCGCTATCTGTCCCCCCAAAAAATGGTATAAAATGAATTTCAGTACAGCGTTGCATGACGGAATAAACATCAAAGAACTGCAGCGTGTTATTTGTTTTAGTTGACATCGGTTAAACAGACACCAAACATGTCAAGCTTTAAAAGTGCGCGCACCCGCAAATTCGCAGAAAACAACCGCACCCAAAATTGGCCATAGGCGACACTTTAAAAGCTTTTACCGCTCATCAGTTTAGTGTTATCAGTGATTGATGGCCCTAGAATTATTGCTCTCACTCCGACGTTCGCGGCGATATGCAACATGTAATGCGTAATGGGCGCAATCATCGTTTTCGCACACAGGCGCACCCGACGCATGTTGGCGTGTGTATGTGGGGGGCGGGGGACTTTTAAAAAAAATTTGCGTTACTTTTTTTTTTGTGAATATTTTTTTAATGCTTTCATTTTTTTTTTACACTTAACTTTATTGCTATCACATAGGGCAGTGCTCCCCAACCTTTTTATCGCCGCGGACCGGTCAACGTTTGATCATTTTAATTTGTTCTGCACTGGAGACTGACACTGAATGCAGGAAGTGATGTAATACACATGCCTTCTGCATTCGGTGGCAGGAGAAGAGATCAAAAGGAGATCGAGTACTGAACTTCCTTTGATCTCCTGTTAGAGCGCTGCCGTTCCGGTCCCAGCCGCACCGGCCACAGCGGATCACGG